TTGACTAACTGACTGGTTAACTAATTTTAAATTATCACTTACACAATTCTATTATTAATGTTAACATAGATGAATTTCTATAAGTGATTTCTATTTCTATTTCGACAGTAACATAAATTTTAAAAGATCTTTTTTTTGTTCTATGAAACTTATAAGTAATATATGATATTACCATTTAAAGATTATTTTACAGAATTTAGAAAATATTTGTATGACGACAAATAAACAAACAAAAGAAAAAAGAAAAAAGAGAGAAAAACATTTTTAAATGAAAAAAAGAAAAAAATAATAATGATATATTGTCTTTTGTTTTATATCATAATAATACATGTAACCAACAGCAACAACAACAACGAAAACAGCAAAAACAAAAAAAACATTTTTTCTCGGTATAATGACATTTCTGAAATTGAAATCAATAAGCCTTCAAATGAAAAATAATATCAGAAGGGGTTATTGGAGATTTTTAAAAATTTCACAGATTGAACTCATGAATCAATTGATGTTAGACCACCGTTGGAAACCTGGAAGCACTGGATGGCTGTTTCGTCCTAGTATGGGATTACTCAGCAATGCGCATCCACGATCCCGCACCACGCACCACCAGGTTTTCCATGGTGGTCTAGCTTCAATTTACTCATGATTTCAATCTGTGAAATTTCTAAAAATCTCCACAAGCCCCTTCTGATAATAATCATCTGCTCACTGGTGACTGACTTCAGGAAAAACTCCTGGAGTTCTAGTGAGAAGCCGTTACCAGTGGAGTTCAACCAGGTCTGTTGGGAGATAACAAATCACTGAAGACAATGGTGTACGGTGGCGCAACTTCGTGGATTGGTTGAAGTTAGACATTAACACCGTTGGATGCTGGCTCAGTGGTCTAGTGGTTAAGTGCTCACGCGCGGAGCCAGTGGGTCCTGGGTTCGAACCCCGCGTGGTGCAAGACCGTGGATGCGCGCTGCTGAGGAGTCACTCAATAGGACGAAGCAGCCGTTCGGTGCTTCCAAGTTTTCCATGGTGGTCTAAATTCAATTGACTCATGATTTCAATCTGTGAAAAATAATATTTTCATTTATTCAATTTCTTCCTCTTTTTGTCCATTCAAATTTTATTTTTTCTTTCTTTTCTTTTTTTAAATTATGTTTTATCTATCAATAAGGTATTTGTTTATTAGGATTTAGTTGCTAAGTGGATAATGTGATAGGGGTTTGAAGTGAATGGTATTGGGTTCAAGTCTTAGAGTGAACATCAACTCTGAGATACAAGTATATTCATTTGATGAGTCCCAAATGGGATGGAAAAATATAGTGATGGTAAGACGAAATCAACTTGAGTAACTCTTACGGTCTCGCATTTTGTATGAGTATTCCATGTATCTAAATTAATAGTTGATCTGATTGTTAGAAAGAGCATCAGCCTCGTGAATTCTGAAGGAATTCGGCTTTCAACATGAGACGTCATAACTCTTCTTAGTGAAGACCTTCTAACTTCCAGGGCAGAGTTGGTATGGTTTGAATTATTTTTTTCTGGTTGGCGTTTTTTAGAGATTTAGTTTTTTACGGGATGGGGCCGCTAACCCAATGCCCAAATCTCCTCCTTTATCCGTGCCTGGGACGTCAGTAGCCCCATAGGGGCTCCAGGTGGAGTTAATAAGACAAAAAAATTTAATTTTAACATTTATCACTCTCTCATTTGTATACTAAACTTATTAATTGTAAAAGCGAATAGTATTCCATGTACCTATTCTGTGATTTTTATTGTTAGTAGTATAATACAATATGACTGCTTACTCGTTTATAAGAATTCTTGAATTAGTGAGGTAACATCTCAGTGCTAGAACTCAAATTTAATGCCAAGTAATTATCTACAAGGTTATGAATCCCTGATAGCTTAATTCCTTACTTACTTACTTACTTACTTACTTACTTACTTACTTACTTACTTACTTACTTACTTACTTACTTACTTACTTACTTACTTACTTACTTACTTACTTACTTACTTACTTACTTACTTACTTACTTACTTACTTACTTACTTACTTACTTACTTACTTACTTACTTACTTACTTACTTACTTACTTACTTACTTACTTACTTACTTACTTACTTACTTACTTACTTACTTACTTACTTACTTACTTACTTACTTACTTACTTACTTACTTACTTACTTACTTACTTACTTACTTACTTACTTACTTACTTACTTACTTACTTACTTACTTACTTACTTACTTACTTACTTACTTACTTACTTACTTACTTACTTACTTACTTACTTACTTACTTACTTACTTACTTACTTACTTACTTACTTACTTACTTACTTACTTACTTACTTACTTACTTACTTACTTACTTACTTACTTACTTACTTACTTACTTACTTACTTACTTACTTACTTACTTACTTACTTACTTACTTACTTACTTACTACTTACTTACTTACTTACTTACTTACTTACTTACTTACTTACTTACTTACTTACTTACTTACTTACTTACTTACTTACTTACTTACTTACTTACTTACTTACTTACTTACTTACTTACTTACTACTTACTTACTTACTACTTACTTACTTACTTACTTACTTACTTACTTACTTACTTACTTACTTACTTACTTACTTACTTACTTACTTACTTACTTACTTACTTACTACTTACTTACTTACTTACTTACTTACTTACTTACTTACTTACTTACTTACTTACTTACTTACTTACTTACTTACTTACTTACTTACTTACTTACTTACTTACTTACTTACTTACTTACTTACTTACTGACGCTTTCTACTCCCAATGGAGCAGAGTCCACCAACCACCATTCTCCAACACACTCTGTCCTGGACCTTCCTTTCAAGTTCTGTCTGATTGCTGTTCATTCTTCTCATGTCTGTCTCCATTTCGCGGCGTGATATGTTCTTTGGGTCCTCTTCTTTTCCTTTGGCATTGAGGATTCTATGTGAGGTCTTGCCTTATGACACAGTTGGATGCTTTCCTCAATTTGTGTCCTATCTACTTCCAGAAGCGTTGGAAGTGGTTAGGTATAATAGATATATTTATTACTATTAGAGTTTGCATTCATTCGACAAAAGCAGATATGTGATTTAGAACAACATATATCAGGTTTTACTCTAATATAGCTTGATGATGATCTAATCCGAAACAATATTCTTTGCTTGTATATATTGTTCTAAAAGCAGATATCAACACAACATTTAATGATTCATTATATATGTATAAGATCTTCAGTAACACATTATTACAGACAAAACATACCTCACACAATAAATGAAGATAATGTACTAAATCTTTGAGGTTTCTTTTTTCGTTTGTTCAATGACTGAATGGATTATATCCTTTCCGTATTCAGTTTTTTTCATTTATTTAACTTTTATGTTTTATTCATGTTACATCATTAATAATATTTAAAACATTTGTTGTATCTAATCAATTGTCCGACATAGTCAATTGCTGACATTTAAGTAACTCATTAACTTTTGTCAGATCACTTAGGTAACTATGAAAATCTTTTGCTTCTTGTTTCTTTTTCTAAGATTCTGGTCAAATTTTAATGTAAATGAATGATCTATCATTTTAGATATTGATCCGAAGTGATCTGTCCAATCACACAGTAATTCATATGACAATCGACTACTATGAAAGCTTGTAACTACGTACTGCTTTAGTGATAAGTAAATTTTAAAAAATTAAGTGTATGTCTAATACAATCGTTGATTTCAAACGCTAATGGGTTAATTCCTGACAAATTATTACTTTAAAACAATAGATGAGGTCATGAGTCAATCATGGAAGCACTGAACGGCCATTTCGTCCTAGTGTGGGACTCCTCAGTAGTGCACATCCACAATCCCGCCTGAAGAGATTCGAACCCAGGATCAATCAATGTTGCGTATGCATGCTTAACCTCTAGACCACTGAACCGGCCAGCATTCGAAGATGTTAATATTTAACTTCAACTAATCCACGAAATTGAACGACATATCCACCATTTATTCAGAAAAAAATAATTTATAGGGATTTTCAATAATAAATGTAAAACAGTAAACAACCCATAGATATTTCATGCTTACTTATAACTGCTTAGTATAACATACCTATGATCAAGGTGATGATCTCGCACACACACACACACACATACAACATTCATTCATCTTTTATAATTGGTAAAATTTATTTCTAGTATTTGGACATAATTCAATGGTTCATTATTCCAATTTCAGTCAATTCATTATATTAATTAATCAAGATTCATGTGTTGTCAGTAGAGAAAATGTTTTACTCTGAATATGTGAATAAAAGCACTATTAAAAATATTGATTTACTAATGAAATAACAAAACAATTTATAATGTAAACTAATTTGACATGAAGGTGAAGAGAGTCAGCTCTTCCACTTCAAATGCTCTCAAATAGCCACGCATATACAGTCACTATCACGGAAGTCCTACTCAATAACATCTCATGGTGAGGGTGTCGTTTACGAAATTGAGAGGATTAAATGCGAATGTATGACGCTTTAACCAGGTTGATGGATATAGAGGATTCATTTCGGGGGTTAGAGTTGGAAAACCATGATTTCAAACTGATAGTGCATATGGGCCTCAGGATCCTAAGGAAATAAATGATGTATGAACCTATTGTTGTTGACCAATTACCATAGAACTGCATCTTCCAACGTTTCTCCACTGTTTTCTAGATAAGACCTTCAGGTTAAAGGTTATGTGCGCAGATCGAATGACGAAATGAGTGAACCTCATATATATTTGATGCCTCCTTTGTACCAATGTTTATATGCTTAAATACATAAAAATGATTCAAATGAGATATGTAGAATAGAATAAACCTTATTCATGTTATCATTGATGTTTATCAATGACAAATATTGATTTTCTTTATTATGTTTATTTTATTAAAATGATTTTTTTTCTCTTTTTTTCTTTTTCTTTTTAATTTCAATCAAATAGCTTTCATCCAGATTCATATATTGCTAATAAACGAAAATATAAATCTAATTATAATGAAACATATCATAGATTAAATGATTTAATAAGTTTACAACATAGTTCTACAGAATACAATTTAAATACAACCACTACTACTACTACTACTAACAATAATATCAGTAGTATATCATGTCCTATAACTATGAATACAATCAATCCTATCAAATCATTAACACCAATTTCAATTAAAATTCAACAAAATAATAAACAATTAAATCAATATGAATTAGATCATTCAATAAGTGATATATGTTCAACAAATTCATCATTATCAGATCATACTACTAATGGTATGAATTATTCCTATCCAACTCATTCATTATCATTATCATTAAATAGAGATAAAAGAAAAGATCATCATACTAATATTACCACTGCCAATAATAATCATAATAATGTATGTTATAAACATCGTACATTACCATTATTACCTAATTCAAATGAATATCAACACCATCACCATCACAACCACCACCACCACCACCAACAACAACAACAACACCAACACCAATATCCTTATATTCCATTAACATCATCTCAATTAATTACACCTAATATAACATGGCGTATAAAAAATTCTAAAGAAAATTATTATAATAAAAAATTATTAAAATTAATTGAACAATTACCATATAATAAACAAAATTCAATTGGTTTAATATTATTAACAATGGATGTGAAATTATGTAATTCTATACATAATCCATCCGATATTAATCATAATAATAATAATAATAATAGTAATGGTAATCGTAATAATAATAGTAATAGTCATAGTAACAGTAATAATACTGGTAATTATTCGGATATATTCTCTGGTGGTTTAGAATATCGTCTACGTGAAGCATTACAATTAGTGGAACCAAATCATAAATTACTGAATGAATTTGATTATTGTCATTATAAAACAATAAATGAATTAAATAAAATAGATTTAAATAAAATTATTGATGTTCGAAGTAGAAAGTAAGTGATGAATAATGTAATGTATGATATTTTTTAATTTTAATTTGTTTCATTTGGAACAAAGATAAAAGGGGTATCATAGTGGTTAGTGATAGTTAATTAATTAATTAATTAATTATTTATTTGTTTGAACACACAAATATTGGTACAAGGGGGGGCACCAGAGATATATGCGCTACACAAAACAATGAGGATTTGAAGAGAAGAAGGAAAAAAGGTGAGGAGCGTTAAAAAAAAGAACAATAACGAAAAGATTACTGTGAGGTAGTGTAACAGTAATAAAAATTATAATAATAGTAATGAGGTGGGACGGAAAGGTACAGCCAGAAGGAATCTTTCAGTTAAGGAAGAAGCAACCACTTTTTATGAACAAAATAAAAGAAGGTTACAGCAGGATTGCAACTGGCTTCTATTCTGAGCCATATCTGATAACGTCTCTAACCACTGTATTGCACCATCTCTAGGACCCCCCAATCATGGAGTCGAGAAGGACCAACACAAGCCAGCCTTTTGTAGCTTTCTTTCATACCACGACACCATGTCATGCACTGACCACTTCTCCGCTTTTTCCAACCAGTCCCAGAATCGTCGACTAATGCATGACGTGGAATTCTCTGGGACGACATTCGTAGAACATGTCCAAGCCACCGAAGTCGGTGTTTCAAGATGGTGAGATCGATTGCATTATCATTTCTGTGCCCGAACACACGATGCCGAACATCTGCATTACTGATATGGTGTTGCCACTGGATGTCAGCAATCCTTCGGAGACAGCGATGATCAAACACAGAGAGTCGTCTAACTTCCTCAACTCGGAGGGGTCAGGTTTCACAAACATAGAGCAAAACTGCTCTCACCGACGCGTTGTAGATCCGGCCTTTTACAGCCAGACTAACATCACGAAGGCGCCAAAGATGGCCCAGATTGGCATAAGCCACTCTGGCTTTCACTATACGTGCATTGATCTCATCACTCACACCCCCACCAGCACTCATACAGCTACCCAGCTACACGAACTTCTCGACTACGTCTATCTGCTCACCATCCAGAGTGAGTACAGGGTTAGAATCCTCCCAGTCTTGTAGAATTACTTTGCACCTTCCAGGTGCAAAGCACATACCATACCTACGGACACTGATTGCCAACTGATTAAGTGCGGATTGCATGACTTGGGCATTATCGCACAGTAAGACAATATCATCCGTATACTCAAGGTCGAGAAGTCTTTCTCGAGGCAACAAATCCACACCACCATTACTTACATCCATCAGAGCTGTTTCCAAAATGTCGTCGATGGCAAAGTTGAAGAGGAATGGTGAGATTGGGCAACCCTGCCTAACCCCACTGCTCGAATGGAACAATGGAGAGTGGTGGTTGTATGCCCTCACTCTGCCTGAGGTGTTTGTACATAAGGCCTTTAGGAGGTTAATAAAATAGTTAATAAGAAACTATGTACCTAGGTTTTTATACTAGTTGATACTCATCAATATGGTGTACCTGTCATTTTGAATGAAATGATATTGTCTGATGATATCGATCCTATGTTATCGACATTCATAGTCAGTGGTAATGTCTTTGACTGTGAATTTGATTGACACTGAATTGAATTGTGAGGATCCTTCACAGGTGAATTTAAGGAAGCTCTAAGAAGCTCAAAAAAAGCTGAAGATATCTCGTCTAATCACTTTTTTGGAAGAATATTGCAGAATATCTACGTGTAGCTTTCCTATTGGATTGGATAATTTTATAATGATTATTTTGTTTTTATTAAAAACTTTAGATACCTGACAGTTTTGTATCATAATTGAGATTGTTTGGAATAACATTCCTTTCATTTGTCTTCTGTCTTTTTATTAGCGTCGAGTGCTCAAGTTATACACAGCATAGTAAAGATCTAAAATCTATATATATAACATGAATTCGTCAGACAGCATCATTTCCTTCAAGATTACAGGTACACATTAATGACGTGTGCTAAGTAGCACGAAACCTAGGTCTAGGGTTTCCTGTTGACTACTTCCAACCACCATCTTATTTCAACTTAGTGCACGTAATCTCGACTCATCTAAACTGGTGGCCACATTGCAACTTCGTCGATAGCATTTGATCTGTACTAAGTAGGACCTGACATACATGATACTGGTCACCATTCAGTGATTATTCAATTGTAAAGATAGAGAATGGCTAGTAGTGCAAATCAGGACACGCATTTCATTCTATTTAGGATGTCGGCCGGCTCAATGGTCTAGAGGTTATGTGTTCAAATGCGAGACCGATAGATCCTGGGTTTGAATCTCCTGAGGCAGTATCATGGATGCACACTATTGAGGATTCTCACACTAGAACAAAACGGCTGTCCAGTGCTTTTAGGTTTTCAATGATAGTCTAGCTTCAATGAACTTACGAATTCAACTAATAAAATAATTATCAGAAAGGGTTTTGTGGAGATTTTAGAAATTTCACTGGTTGAAATCACGAGTCAATTGAAGCTAGATCACCATGGAAAACCTGGAAGCACAGGACGGCCGTTTCGTCCTAGTGTGAGACTCCTCAGCAGTGTGCATCCATTGTGGTCTAGCTCCAATTGACTCATCATTTCAATCAGTAAAATTTCTAAAATTTCTACAAAACCCCTTCTGATAACAATCATCTTCTCACTGTTGACTGACTTCAAGAGATATTTCCCGGAGTTCTAGTGAGAAGTCGTTACCAGTGGAGTTCAACCAGGTCTGTTGTGAGATAGGAACTCACTGAAGACAATGGTATACGGTGGCTCAACTTCGTGGATTGGTTGAAGTTAGACATTAACACCACTGAATGCTGGCTCAGTAGTCTAGTTGTTTAGGCGCCTGGTGCGAGACCGGTAGCTCCCGGGTTCGAATCTCGCGAGGGGCGGGGTCGTGGATGTGCACTGCCGAGGATCCCCATACTAGGAGGAAACAGTCATCCAATGCTTTCAAGTTTTCTATCGTGGTCTAGCTTCGATTGACTCATGATTTCAACCAACATTAAAGTAATTAACTGTAAATTCATCAATTTCCATCTCTATTTCCTCATTGATTTAAAATGTTTTGTTTTCTTAAACATTGTTTTACAACATGAAAATATCATTAATTTTTTCCCGTTTTTCTCTCTAAATGATAAAACTACATTGACTTTGTAATGTATTTTCATGTCAACAATAATGTCTTGAATGATTGAAATCATCATACATTTCCATCATATATATACATGATGTACTTTAGTACTACTTACCTTTCTAAACAGTTTGCATTATTTCTTTGTAATAGATTAAATGTGAAACCCATCAACAACAACAACGACAACAAAAGTACAATATAAAGTGTACAAATGAATTATGTCATTAAAATTGAAGTGTATACACAACTTCTGTTCATAAATATGCATATTTTCTTTTTTTTTTCTTTTTTTTCAAAAAAAAAGAGAAAAACTTCAGTGACACATTTGAAATAAATAAAACAGACATATATGAAAGTTAGTCAAGAAATTAGTTTCAATAGTTGAAATCATGAATCGATTGAAACCTGGAAGCACTGAACGGCTGTTTCGTCCTAGTATGGGATTCCTCAGAAGTGGGCATCTATGATCCCATACGAGAACGAAACGGCCGTTCAGTGCTGTTAGGTTTTCCATGGTAGTCTAGATTTAATTGACTCATGATCTAAATTATTTAAATTTCTAAAATCTCCACAAAACCCCTTGTGATAAGAAACTAGTTGTATAAATTTTTTTTGTATATCAATCAGAGAAACTTGTTGAATATAGGCAATATTACTAAACGTCGAACACAATGATCCATCCATATAAGTAGTATATAACGATAGTTAAGAATACAATGTATTTCAGTAGAAGATTAAGGAGGAAACAATAGGAACAGAAAGCAATTGGTATGAAAATGAATGAACAATGAAATCTGAGACGATGGACTGAGATTTGCAAAAGGAAACAGTCAAGTTTGAGACAATTGATTGATATTTTGTAAATGAAGTACTTACTATGTGGTTCTCAGATTGTATTAAGATGTTCGGTAATTTTGTATTCAATTACATTCTATTTTCCCCACCTGTGTTCATGTTCACTACAATATTTCTTGACTGTGTTCAACTCCACTGATTGTGATATTCTTTACAACTATTTACCCTGGTACGACTGAGATTGCGGAGAGTCCGCTCTCCCTCTCGAAGTGCTCTCACATGACCACGCGTATATAGCCTCTGCCAAGGAAGTCCTACTCATTGCATTCTCACACCAGGAGTGTTGTTTACTAAATTGAGAAAAAGAAAAGCGAATGTCCGGCGCTTCAACCGGGTTGGTGGGTACGAAGGCTCCACCTAGGGGAGTTCGAAAACCCTGATTCCAAACCAATGGTGCACTTGGACTCCAGTATTTTACAGCAACAAATGGCATATGAACCAAACGTTGGTCACCGGCTACTATGGGACTGCATCTCCTTACGTTACTCCACTGCCTAGTGGATCAGATGTTCAGGTCGAAGGCTCGAGGTGTGGTTCCCTAAGAAAACAACTCGCTTCGGTTTGGTGCCCGGATAATATCACAGCACTCACACATATCAAATGAGGTTTGTGTGGTGCATATGTATTTGGTGTCTCCTTGTACCAATATCTATGTGTTGAAATAAATAAATAACAATTATTTGTCACTAAAGAGTCTATCGTAAAAATACATAAAGTTTGAGAAGATTCTTTACTGAAAAAACTATTGTTTGGACTAGAATTTATGGGAAGTGATCATTGGAATTAGTAACCCACTGCAGCGTTCTCCATAATTACTTACTATCCTCACTTTTATTCATCTTCACCAAAGAGAACCCTTCTGAGATAACATTTTCTCATTTCGACTTTCTAAAGATTGATCTCCTATCAAGAAGTTAACTTGTTAACGTATAATATCTAGATGATATAATCCTATGCATTAAAATGTGAGAAAATACAGAATCTTCAGACTGTCTCTATCAACAATACAAGAATATTTAGGGTGCATTTCCTTCTCTCTGTATTATCACCTAGATCGATCACAGAGATCGAAATAGTAACATCAGTTGACCATTCTACTTCTCTTCATCTCATTGACACTGATGGGTTGATGGCTAACAAAACATCGACTAGAGAGACTGAACGGTATTGTCGAGGCTTGAACGTCGTAATTTCTATCTTTTGCGTGGTTATAGATGAGTACAGCCTGTGAGGAGCCCCCATACCAGGAGGAAACACCTGTCTGATGCTTTCGAGTTTTTTAACGGTCTCTAACTGAAATCAGCCACTGATGTCAAACTTCATATATGTATATATGATTTCATTTAAAACATGGACATTTGAATCCTATAGGAAACTATTCTAAATACTATTTCTAACTTCTCTATCTTGTTTCCTAGAAATGTCAGTGAATCCAAAAAATCATCAACCAACTTTGTTAAAGAATCATCTAAAGAAGATGGTCGTGAATCTGGAATAGATCCAGATACATTAGACGAAACATCAACATCAATGATTGGAAATTCTTTAAGCTTAAATGATATGAAATATACTACTAATGATCTTAGTCATACTACTGAAGTACACAAACCAAATGTAATTACAATATTAAGACGATTAGCAAGATATTTAGCTTTACGGATAGCAAATAAACGTCATAGTCTAGCTACAGCAAATCAACATGTTGCAAGAAATGCCATTGAAGAAAAACTTGTAAGTAGTCTCTTATAATATTTTATTTGCATTTTCTGTTTTCTCATTAATTAAGTAACCAGGGTAAGGAGTTTGTCATTTTTATAATGAAAGGAAGATAACTATTAAAGAATAATGAACAACATGACATGAATGCATATCTACTCATTTCAATCTATTTCATTTATCAAATGATGTGATTCTCAATCAGTGTTAATGATAGTTGAAGAGTCGAACACAATGTACCTCATGAATGACTCTTTTTTCTATCACATCGTTCAGAAAACTATGATGAATATAATCCCTAAACAACGTGAGGTTATTATTTGAAATATCTTTACAGAAAATTATTCTATTAAATAGTATTTACATATTGATGAATATCTATCTCTTAAAATAAAAAAGATTTCTGAAAACCTAAACATAAAGCTCCAATGAGAGAAAGTAACCAATTGTTTACAGTATTTAGATGAACTATTACTATTAATGTGAATTGACTCTCCCCACTGTCGACCGTACAGGGACATTTGAGAGCATATAATCATATGGTATAACGATTTAGTCAACTAAACTTATTTCGAAAGAATTTCAAATAAGCTTTTAGTAGTTTAATACATAAGAATAATCGTTGTAATTCAAAGAGAAAGCGGGGTTAATGAAGATTTGCAACTTATTTTGATAGTTCACATTTCAGACTAGATTCATCGTTCCTATGCAAGATTGAAAGCCCAACGTTCGACCCTTAATGGTGGTGTCGTTGATGAATGAGCTACTATAAGAAATGCTTTGACGATCTTCATATCCGTTAATTATTTTCAATTTCTGGATAGTAGCTAGTAGGGGGGAGATTTAGAATGTGGGTTTTTTTCCCTAATCAAAACTCTTCAGTGAGTTGAATGCTAAATTACAGAAAGTCACATATTTCCTTCTTAAAATAAGTGATACCTATCATATGTTAAGAAATACGTAGAATACAGTATATATCACCTTTATGTGAAACATAATTCTTACATTCCACCCCCATGAACTATCCAAAATATCAGTCAGTCAGTCAGCTAAAACGTAGGACCAGGCACATATATGCATCAGTCCAAGTTGCCATACCTCATTTGCACAACAAGATGGACACCGGATTCATAAAAGTAGTTCATTCAATGGTAGTAGTATATAAAAGAAAGATTGCATATAAGGATATAATACAGGAAGAAAGAATTAGTTCGTAGAAAGAAACGTGTAAAGCAATTTTAATCTCACAATTCAAGGGAAGACAGAGAGTGTATACACCTACGCCATTGTGATCGATTCTGAGTCATGTCACCCACAGACTCAAATTATTGGTTACGATAGTCACGCGGACCCAACCAAGTAGTCTGCATCTCCCAACATGGCTCAGATTAGAAGTTGGTGACTTTGTGGACTGATGCCACGTTTCGGTTTGGCCGCCCCTAACTTTCTTCCAACCATCTCCAACACTAGTCAGCATTGCGCGTTGTAGTAATCAGTGTTCAGGCATGCGTATATATCCAACATATAATCAAATCCTGTTATATTTTGTAAACAGTTGTAAGTTTTTCGTTGTTAATATTTATGAAAGTGGGATTATTGAATGGATTTCTCAATATTACATATACCTACAAGTGTAGATCTTAAATACTAACTAGTAGTAAGCTTCTAAACAAGCAATTTATCCTTTTATTTTTTTTAGACAAACAAGTTAAGCTCTGACTAAATGCAACTCATGATATTAATAAGGAAAGAATAGGAAAGCAAAACCATACCAGTAATAATAATAAGTATTCTATTCATTAGACAAGTTGATAACTAATGTAACTTAGTAGTCTAATGTATAATGTATTACTATGTATAAAGTCATTATTACTGCTATCCAGTTTCAATGTAAACATTCATATATTATTATGATATTCTGAAGGTACCTGAACTTTGTCGAACATATTTCACAATCAATCACTAATGATGGTATAAATATTATTATATTAGACATTTTTCAGAAATCCGTTTAGCCATGTCGAAAGTGAAGTACTGAATTACCGGTGATATCAAATCATGATTGGACTAAACCTTGAATCGATTAATGTTGAAAACACTTAGTTAATAAAATGTATCATTATTTAGGCAAAACCTGAGAGTTTGAGGTTTGATTCAGTATGGAATATCATGTGTTTGTAATACCTGTGAGTTTCAAACAAAAACAAAAGACAACTGTTCCTATGCAAAGAAAAACTATCAGTGTAGGGTTGTGGACTTACGTCACCTATGGCAAAGGCAAGATACCCGTCTATCAATTAAAGAACAAATATACTGTGTAGTAGTTCATTCTGTTCTACTTTACGACTGAGAAACGTGGCCATTAAAGATAGAGGATAATCGTAATTTACTAATATTTGATGCCTGATGTCTTAGAAATATTGCTTGCATCAGCTGGGATCATCGGGTAAGTAATAGTGAGGGTAGACGCAAGGTATTAGGGAATGATGGTAAGTCAGTTGATGAGGTTGTGAATCTAAATCGACTGACATGGATGTGCTACGTATTACGTGTGTCTGAACACTGATCACCGCGACATGCAATGCTGACTAGTGTTGGTGATAGTTGGAAGAAAGTTAGGGGCGGCCAAACAAAAACCTGACATCAGTCCACAAAGTCACTGACTTCTTGTGTGATCCATGTTGGTAAATGCAGACTACTTGGTTCGGATCCACGTGACTATCGTAACCAATGATTGGAGACTGTATGTGACATGGCTGAGAATCAATCACAATGGTGTATGTGTATACACTCTCTGTCTTCCCTTAAGCTATGAGACCAAAATTGCTTTACACGTTTCTTTCTACGAACTAATTCTTCCTTCCCGCATTATATCCTTATATGCAATCTTTCCTTTATATATTACTCATTGAGTTAACTGCTTCTATGAATCCGGTGTCCATCTTGTTGTGCAAATGAGGTATGTGAACTTGAACAAATGTATATATGTACCTGATCCTATGTTGTAACTGACTGACTGATTGATTGGTTGATTGATTGATTGATTGATTATGATATTATTATGATTATTGTTTTTGTCATTATTCCAATTGTTTTATATATATATACTCAACTTCGATTTACTTCTTTTTTCTCTTTCTGATTTCATTCTAGTTACGTTCTAGATTAAGTGAATTAAATACTGATTATTATTATTATTATCATCATGATAATATAATGAATAGTTGGAATTCATTAAATTCAATTGAAATCAATCATGGTACAATTGTGAATCGATTTGATCGATTACATAATAATACAATTGCTGTTATTCAATTATTATGTCAATTAGCAAGACGTTTAGCTATATTAGATGGACAATTATATTATTTAAATAAAAATAAATATAATGATAATGTTGTATTATTATGTAATAATAATAATAATAATAATAATCCATCATTATTATCCTATAATCATGTGACATCATTAACCTCTGGTACATCATCAATTCTATCAAATCACTTCTTGAATGATTTCAACAATAATAATAGTAATACCAATCGGAATAGTAACTGTGAATTGGTAAGCTCAATAATAAGAAAAAGTAGTATAGTATATATATATATATATATATATATATATATATATATATATATATATATATATATATATATATATATATATGTGTATATATTCAGTTTATTTATTATGCTCATCATTAATTTTTCGGCGGCCTGCTTGATCATCTGGGCTACCTGTTCCTGCCATCTAGATATTTCAATAAGTTATCTATTTTTCTTTGTTTTAATATATCATTATGTTTATTAATCTCATAACCTATTCTGCTGCGTTTCTGAAAAGTGTACAACCTTTCGTTGTCAAAGTTATAAAAAACTCAATAAGAGACAATGTGGTTGCTGGCAATATACAACGAAAAGAATGCACATTATTCAGATGTTCATTTAGTGAACTGCTAACATCTAACTGGCGATCACTCAATATTTATCGCCAGGACCGACGAAGAAGAAAGAAACGAAAACTTGTTGAAATACTTTACGCTGAGAATTCTATGTTGTACCAAAAAATATACTACTGAATAAAGCTGATAATAATAATAATAATAATAATAATTTATTTGATGAACTTGAACTACTTACGTACTTACTTACGCCTGTTACTTCCAATGGGACATAGGTCACCGACAAGCATTCTCCAAAACACTCTGTCTTGGATCTTCCTTTCAAGTTCTATTCAATTTCAATGATTAAGATCATGAGTCAGTTGAAGCTAGAACATCATGGAAAACCTGGAAGCACTGAACGGCTGTTTCATCCTATTGAGGGACTCCTCGGCAGTGCGCATCCATGACCTCGCCCCATGCGAGATTTGAAACCAGGACCTACTGGTTTTGCACGCGAGCACTTAACCAGTAGACCACTGAGTCGGTATCCAACGGTGTTAATGTTTAACTTCAACTAATTCAATTGTTGTTTATTCTTCACATATCTGTCTCTATTTCTCAGTGTAATGTGTTCTTTAGTCTTCCATTTTTCCTTTGGCCTTGAGGATTCTAGGTGAGGGATTGCCTTGTGATGTGGTTGGGTGCTTTCATCAATGTGTGTCCTATCCACTTCTAACTCTAATTACTGATTTCTTCCTTCACTAGAATCTGATTTGTTCTTTCACGGTAGGTTGTTGCTGATAATGTCTAACCAACGAATCCGAAGTATTTTGTGTAGACAACCGTTAATGAATACTTGTATGTTCTGGATGATGGCTTTTGCAGTTCTCCAAGTTTCTGCCTCGTACAACAGAACTGTCTTGACATTTCTATTGAGTAGTCTACCAGCACCGCTATTGTAATTAGAGTTTAGAGATGTTGGGAGACACGGCTTAGGATCAGTTGTTTTTCGGCTTCTCTTACATTTTTTGAATCCATTCTTCTTTTCTTAAATTATGTGGTGTACTACTAATGCTGTTTTTTTGCTATCACTTATACTATTATCACTACTGTCTTGCTATTCATCTTGACAACTTTTTCTGACTTTGCTGATATGATATAGTATACTGGACGGATAAACCTGTGTTTGGATTTACTTTATTTATAACTGACTAGCTGACTGACATTTTATTTTGCTAGAGTTCATTATCATCTGCTTATAATAAGGAATATTTTGACTTGAATATCTAATTGCATAGAACCAAATTTGATTCATATTCACATGGAGAATAAACCATATATCATCATTAGTATATTAAGAACTGCAAGAGCATATTGAAAATTTAATAAAATGAATTAGATCTGATAATTGAATATCATATGTGATAGAAAGGTTCAAAACGACTCATTAGAATACAAATACATAGAATATCATGCCTAGAGTCAAACGGTTAAACAACTAAATAAGTTATGAAATAATTTGATTATCACTAAGAGTAGAATATATAAATTGGCATTTACCAATAAGAGATTGATTGATTACAATTCTAGATGTCAATGAGAAAATTCAAACAAGCAATACAGAAATGAATTAAAGACTTTATCCTATAGATCAACCCAGTTGTTATCTAGATTTAGTATCTAAATGGATAGTGTGATAGTGTTTGAAGCGAATGGTGCTAAATTCAATTCCCTAAGTGAACATCAATTCTGAGATACAGGTGTATCTAGCTAACAAGTCCCAAAATAGGACAAAACATGCATCTTCGATTCCATTGTTAGCCATATTTCATCTATTCGATAATAAATTTACAGCTTTTCTGATAAAAAAATTAGGCAACCTGATTACCAAAATTGATTTATTAAAAAATCAATCAGTAGCTGAGTGGATATCGCGATGCCGTTTGAAGCGAATGGTACTGGGTTCGAGTCCCAGAGTAAACATCAACTCTGAGATGAAGGTATATCCAGCTGACGAATCCCAAATAGAATTCCAGTGCTAACCACTATCCATCATTGCTTACAAAAAGCTTGTGAATTAAGGCATATGCCAATAACAGACTGATCAATTGCGGTCTTAAACCTCAATGGGAAGATACAAGCCAAACAATACCAAATGAATCAATGTAATTGTTAGGATTACGTAATACAAAGCAAAAAGTTTACTTTAAAATTAAGTGAACATTGAATTTTAACTTCTTTCATATGCCACTTAACGATTTAATTGACATATAATATAATGAAGGATTTTTCCCATGGGAATAAACATAAATACCTAACTGTGAGAATGGTAATATATATGTCAAATGTTAAATCTATCACTGAGATTGATCTCCTTACACTGTATTCAATCTTTAATCTACCAACACATTTAGATAATAACGTAATCAAGATTTAAAAAAACACTTGTTATTTTATCGATATATGGATATATATATACTGAATAATTTCTTTACTTACTTACATACGCCTGTTACTCCCAATGGAACATAGGCCACCTACCAGTATTCTCCAACTCGCTCTATCTTGAACCTTTCTTACTAGTTCTATCCAATTGTTGTTCATTCTTCACATATCTGTCTCCATTTCTCAGCGTAATGTGTTCTTTGGTCTTTCTCTTCTCTTTGGGTAGTTAGGATTCCAGGTGAGGTATTGTCGTATAATGTAGTTGGATGCTTTCCTCAATGTGTGCATTTATGCACACTTTCAATTTAACTCACTGAATAATTTGCATACATCATTACTTTTGATCAATAATAAGTATGTTAACATCTTACAATGATTATTGTTAGGATGATTTATTACAGTAGTACGTTTCAAAGCTCAACATAATAATGTGGCTTCAAAAATACGAATTTGTAATTCTTGCACATGAATAACCATTGAGTAGTGGACTATATCAGTCAGTCAGCCACAACGTAGGACCAGGTACATATATGCAGCGATCCGAGTTGCCATACCTCATTAGCACAACAAGATGAACACCAAATTCATAGAAGTAGTTACTTCAACGGTACCTCTAACAGTACTCGATTGGTTTATATAATGTTTATCTAGTCCTTTATTACTGATCAAATGCTATCGATCAAGTTGCAAAGTGGTATGACATAGAGATTGTCATATTGAGATGTTAGGTTGTTGGAGACAGTTGACAGTAAACCATGTTTAACCTATTTTCTATGCTGATTAACACTCATTGGCAAGGCTAACCTACAATCTTAAAAGAACTGGTTCTACTTCCTGGGTTCGAACACGCGTTACCTGGCTACACTGTCTAGAACTTTACCACTGAATCATTTGTAGGACAATAAGACTAGTTCATTTACATCCACATGACATTAGTCACTATTCTGATCCCAGTCAATTGTTAGTCGCTATCTGAATAGTTCAGTTGTAACATTTCATACCATGAAGCTACGTTGCTTAAGTTTCTATCCCACTGAGGGCAACGTTGTAAGTGCTCTTTGCTGATCAATCTTCCCGACTACTACTAGCCATCTAACCACAATAAAGCAGGAAATAAGTGATAGTTAATGTGAGTTAACAGTCGTTCACATAAATGAATTACAATTATGTCATATCAATTAATTAATAAATTTTTTTTGAACTTCTGAATTAGTAAGTGCTTGTGATCACAGTTACTAATGCTGAAATATCATGTTTATTTGAATCTTCTCATTGATGTCTAGGACTGCAATTGATTAGTCTCTTATTATTGGCATATGTGCGTACTGTGCGTGTTGCTTCGATATTGTCTTAATTCATAAACATTATAAACAAAGATGGATAGTGGTTAGCATTGGAATCCAGGATATGCGTTTCGTACTATTTGGGACTCGGCAATCGAATGTATCTGTATCTTAGAGTTGACGTTCACTCCGGGACTCGAACCCATTACCGTTCGCTTGAAACACCATCGCATTATCTCCTTAGCTACTGAGTCCTGAATTGAACATTTAAGATGTAACTACGGGATTAATACTTAATAAACAAATGAAACTTTGTAAACAAACTTACTTAATCTATATAAAATTTAAGCAAAACAAAAGCGCTTTAAAAACCATACTGAATTATATTTCTTTGTGTTATGTCCCAATGAGAATAATGAATGGTAACTTTTTGGATCCATTTATGGACCAATACTACACATATATTTTTATTGTATAATTTTATGTAACTAAACGATTCATATTCATATCTCTCTTATTATAAGCTTCATTTTAACCTGTGAACTATTATTATACCATTTACCATTCTTGAATTAGGCCCTGTCTATTAATTACTATCTCCCACATTCACATCCACATTTGGCTAAATCTTGTGCAAATGTTATTTTCTATTTTATGGTACGGTGTGGTCTGTTCGATTGGTATATAAACCCTAGTATGCTTGAGATACATGATTCATATTACAGAGGTTGAGATTGGTGTTCTGGACTTAAGTGGCTGAGCTAGGCAGAAAGCAGGACCTATAGGTACTTTAGACTGCTCATATGGGTTTTATGTGTCATTGGTCCGATCAATAATTCACTACTCTCTAACTGGTGGCATCGTTACATTATACATTAACAGGGCACACGGGCCACAAGTCATAACACTTTCCAAAAGAAAGAAGTATACTTTTGCCAAAATATATGCAATGAACTTCTTTTAGGGAAAGTGTACAATTGTTTCACATATTTATATGGATCCCTTCAATGTATACACACTGCTTGATTCTAATTCCTTAATATTCAATGTTTGACAGTGATAAATCATATTGAAATTAAAATGAACAACACTATGTTGAAGTCTCAGAGTGAACAACAACTCTAAGATACATCCAAATGACGAATCACAAATAGGACAAAATACGCTTTCTGAATTCCATTACTAACCATTATCCATCTTCAGACTTGAAGCAATATCGATGCAATTCACACAGGATCCATATATTACCAATAATAAGAGACTGATCAATTACAAATCTAAACATCAATAGTGAAGATTCAATAAATCAATATAAAAATCAATTTTATTATGACTTCTTTTTTTATTATTTTTTTCTCTTCTATTTAGTCACAAATTATTGAACAACAAAAACGTTTAATTATCCAAATTAAAGAAGCTCAATTATTACGAGCTGAATTAGAAACATGTCGACATCGTTTATTAGAAAGTATACCGGGTCATATAAAATGTGATTTAACACATAATATGATTGATAAATTAGGAAGAGATTTCATTCATGATAATAATAATAAGTCTACAACAAATACTACTAATCAAAATATTAGTAATCCTAATACAACAGAATGTAAATTAACATCATATACAAATAGTGAATTGGATCAACAAAATCAAACAAATCATAATACTAATACTACTACTAATGATAATAGTAGTAATATTAATAATAATAATGAAAAATCAATATCCAATAAAATGAATGAACAAGAAGATCAATTAAATTGTCAACAATCGATTATGAATACAACACAATTACTTAGACAACGTGTTACTGAACATTTAATTGAATTTTTAAATTGGTTTGTATTATCACAAGTAAGTTATGTAATAAGAGTTGTGTTTTTATTAAATTTATATATACATATGATGCAGTTGAGATAAATAAAATTGTTCAACTAGGTCTGTTGTGAGATATCAACCCACTGAAGACAATGGTATACTGTGGTGCAACTCCCTTGATTGGTTGAAGTTAGACATGAACACCATTGGATGCCGGCTCAGTGGTCTATTTAGTTAAGCGCCTGGCGTGAGACCGATAGGTCTTGGGTTCTAGTCTCGCAGGGGGCGGGATCGTGGAGGCGCACTGCTGAGGAGTCCCATACTAGGACGAAAAGGCCGTCCAGTGCTTCCAGGTTTTCCATGGTGGTCTAGTTTCAATTGACTCATGATTTCAATCTGTGCAATTTCTAAAATCTCCACAAACCCCTTCTGATAATAAATAAAATTGTGTATAGATTTTTCTTTTAATTTACCATTTTAAAAAAAACTGGGAGAGCGACAGGTATCTACCACAGTACAATGGAAGATGATCACGCAGTTTCACAGATTAATTGAAGTTAGATATTAATACCGTTGAATGTCAGCCGGTTCAGTGGTCTAGAGGTTAAGTGTTGGCGTGCAAGACCGAAAACTTGTGAGAGAGATCGTGAATGAGCACTGCTGAGGAGTTCTACAATAGAATGAAATGGTTGTCTAGGGCTTCTAGGTTTTCATTGGTTGTCTAGCTTCGATTGACTCATGATCTCAATGAGAAACTGTGTATAAATGTTTCCTTTAATTTGTAACTTAAAAAAGAGTGATCGTTAGGTTTGTATTTAAGAAATGACGAGTTGTAGAGATTGTAGTATTGTAACAGTTGAAATAATGAATCAATTGAAGCTAGATCATAATTGAAAATCTGGAACCACTGGACGATCGTTTCATCGTATTATGGGACTTCTCATCAATACGCATTCGTGATCCCACAGAAAAGAGACTCGAACTAAGTACCCTCGGTCTTGCGAGCGAACGCTTAACATCTAGATCACAGAGTCGGTATCCATCGGTAGTAGTCTCTAACTTCAATCAATCCATGATCTTGTGCAATCATTCATCCATTGTCTAAGGTAAATAACTATCTCACATTCAACATGAGTTGAACTCCACTGGTAATGGCTTCTCGTTAGATCTGCAGGAGTGACATCTTGAAACTAGTCACTATTGAGTGCATGATTATTATGAGAAGAGATTTGTGGAGATTATACTAAGTTTAACAATTGACCAGTGAAACCTAATCCATGTTAGGTGTCAAAGAGTTATCCACCTCAGACAATGGATGAAGAGTTGCGCAAGATTATGGATTGATTGAAGTTAGAGGTTAACATTGATTGATTTCAACTCAGTGGTCTAGATATTAAGCGTTCTCACTTGAGACCGAGGATCCTGTATTGCAGTCTCTTTGGTGCGGAATCGTGGATGTGCATTAATGAAGTGTCCCATACTAGAAGGAAAAGGCCTTAAAACTGTGCTTCCAAATATTCATTTGTGGTCTAGCTTAGATTGACTCATTAATTCAATTAATAATATTTATATATGTTAGTTAAGAATTAAACTGAAACGTACTGAAGTTTACATAAAGCTATCAACTATTAATGGTAGATAGAATTTAATAAGTATTTCATGTTTTAAGGATTCATTCAAACTGTCAGTTTCATTTAAGAATTACAATTATAACTGATATCATGTCAAAAATAGTGGAATAAATTCAACAATGATCTGAATGTTTTAAAAGATTTATAAAATATTGTGAAAACTAGTAATGATGGACAGTGACTCAAGTTAGACATCAACACCGTTGAATGCCGTCCGGATTAATGGTCTAGGAATTAAGCGAGGTAGGATCTTAGGTATGCACTGCTGAGAAATCCCGTAATAAGACGAAACAACCATCCAATCCTTCCAAGTTTTCCATGGTAGTCTAGCTCTAATTGACTCATGAATTCAATTATAAAATTACTATAAATCTCCACAAAACCCCCCTTCTAGAGATAATAATGTACTGGAAGGTTTAGTTATGTAAAATTTTTTGAACAATCAATTCATATCGGTTACTTTATTATGTTGTATCACAAATCGATTAAGTATGTAATTATACCTGGGGATATCGACTCACAAATTCTAATGGGTAATTATTCTTCATCAAATTTGAGGTTCTTAGATTTGAATCCTAAGTTAGTCATACTTGTGCATTGTTAAAGACTCGAATATTGGGATAAAGAATATTTTTAGTGAGCATTGATTTCCACTAGTATCCTAATTCAAGTCAATCTATAAAGAATACAATATTGAAATAGTTATATTCAATAAATGTACTTTTTTCTTATAAGAAATACTTAAAATTCACCGGATGCTGCACCATTAGTGAAGTATACTTCAGATTAAATAATATATGATGTTAAAAAACACAGCTAATTTTCACTTTATTGTGCTACTACTACTACTACTACTACTACTACTACCTGCCACTACTACGATTACTATTACTACTATTACTACTAATACCACTACTAATACTAATACTAATACTAGTACTAATACCATTAAAACAAATAAATCAATGAAAGTAAAGTAATATATTGTTAATATATAAATGTATATCATACTAACTGATACATTGTTAACACAAAGTCAACAACTATCAAGGTTAAGATGATTGACATGAAAAATTTTTTTGAAAAAACGTTAAAAAAGTTATTATGATGGCAAATAGACAATAAATTGAATAGCTCTTAACCAGTGAAATTATTGTCTTAGTTACAGTGGTACAAAATGATAATATGAATCTATCATAAAACGGAATCATAATTTATAATTCTAATTCAAATCATGTTGAAGCACCCCATTTTCTCTTACTTACTTACTTACTTACTTACTTACTTACTTACTTACTTACTTACTTACTTACTTACTTACTTACTTACTTACTTACTTACTTACTTACTTACTTACTTACTTACTTACTTACTTACTTACTTACTTACTTACTTACTTACTTACTTACTTACTTACTTACTTACTTACTTACTTACTTACTTACTTACTTACTTACTTACTTACTTACTTACTTACTTACTTACTTACTTACTTACTTACTTACTTACTTACTTACTTACTTACTTACTTACTTACTTACTTACTTACTTACTTACTTACTTACTTACTTACTTACTTACTTACTTACTTACTTACTTACTTACTTACTTACTTACTTACTTACTTACTTACTTACTTACTTACTTACTTACTTACTTACTTACTTACTTACTTACTTACTTACTTACTTACTTACTTACTTACTTACTTACTTACTTACTTACTTACTTACTTACTTACTTACTTACTTACTTACTTACTTACTTACTTACTTACTTACTTACTTACTTACTTACTTACTTACTTACTTACTTACTTACTTACTTACTTACTTACTTACTTACTTACTTACTTACTTACTTACTTACTTACTTACTTACTTACTTACTTACTTACTTACTTACTTACTTACTTACTTACTTACTTACTTACTTACTTACTTACTTACTTACTTACTTACTTACTTACTACTTACTTACTTACTTACTTACTTACTTACTTACTTACTTACTTACTTACTTACTTACTTACTTACTTACTTACTTACTTACTTACTTACTTACTTACTTACTTACTTACTTACTTACTTACTTACTTACTTACTTACTTACTTACTTACTTACTTACTTACTTACTTACTTACTTACTTACTTACTTACTTACTTACTTACTTACTTACTTACTTACTTACTTACTTACTTACTTACTTACTTACTTACTTACTTACTTACTTACTTACTTACTTACTTACTTACTTACTTACTTACTTACTTACTTACTTACTTACTTACTTACTTACTTACTTACTTACTTACTTACTTACTTACTTACTTACTTACTTACTTACTTACTTACTTACTTACTTACTTACTTACTTACTTACTTACTTACTTACTTACTTACTTACTTACTTACTTACTTACTTACTTACTTACTTACTTACTTACTTACTTACTTACTTACTTACTTACTTACTTACTTACTTACTTACTTACTTACTTACTTACTTACTTACTTACTTACTTACTTACTTACTTACTTACTTACTTACTTACTTACTTACTTACTTACTTACTTACTTACTTACTTACTTACTTACTTACTTACTTACTTACTTACTTACTTACTTACTTACTTACTTACTTACTTACTTACTTACTTACTTACTTACTTACTTATGCCTGTTTCTCCCAATGGAGCATAGGCCGCCAACCAGCATTCTTCAGCACACTCTGTCTTGGGCCTCCCTTTCTTGTTCTGTTCAATTGTTTTTCATTTTTCATATATCTGTATCCATTTCTCGGACTAATGTGTTCTTTAGTCTTCCACTTTTCCTGTGGCCTTGAGTATTCTAGGTGAGGGATTGCCTTGTGATGTGGTTGGGTGCTTTCATCAATATGTGTCGTATTCACTTCCATAGCTTCTTCTTGACTTCTTCCTTTGCCAGAATATGGCTTGTTCCTTCCCATAGTAGGTAGTTGCTGATAATGTCTGGCCAACAGATCTGAAGTATTTTATGTAGACAACTGTTAATAAGCATCTGTATCCTGTGGATGATGGCTTATGTAGTTCTTCAACTTTCCGCCCCATACAGTAGAACTGTTTTTCTAATCACGATTAAATACTAGTGAAAATTAATTGTAAATCAGTGCGCAATATACACTAAATCATAATGAGGAATTTTTGGTTTAATTTAGCTGTTACTCTCAATATACTAAATAAATAAAACAAAAGGAAATTCTTAGTATATATGATATCTGAATAGTACTAGAATTCGAGAGGCATATTTCTTTCTCTTTACTACTCGATTGGACGGATTTAAATCCGTGTTGATGTCCACATTGAGACTTAAACTCGTTACTTATTGTCTAAGAGATTATACTAATATTGATTGATCTACTGAGTTTACATAATAACTAGATTGTTCAACAGGTATTGTAACCTTTCATTATTGATATTTAAAAGTTGAAGAATTTTATTCTTGACTATGAACAACAATAAATTAAAAATACCTAACAAAAATAAATTCTGTCATCAGTCAGTCAGCTACAATGTAAGACAAATCACATATATGCATCAGTCCAAGTTGCCATACCTCATTAGCACAGCAAGATGGACACCGGATTCATAGCAGTGGTTAGGTCAAAGGTAGTAATATGTAGGAGAAAGATTGCAATAAGGATATAGTACAGGAAGAAAGAATTAGTTTGTAGAAAGAAAGATATGAAGCGATTTTAATCTCTTAGTTTAAGGGAAGACAGAGAGTGTATACACCTACGCCATTGTGATCGATTCTCAGCCATGTCACACACAGTCTCCTATCATTGGTTTTGAAAGTCACGCGGACCCCAACCAAGTAGTCTGCATCTCCCAACATGGCTCAGACTAGAAGTTAGTGACTTTGTGGACTGATGCCACGTTTTGATTTGGCAGCCCCCTAACTTTCTTCCAACCATCTCCAACACCGGTTAGCATTGTGTGTCGTGGTAATCGGTGTTCAGGCATACGTAATACGCAGCACAACCCGCTCAGTCGATGAAGATTTACAACTTTATCAACTGATGAATTAATTCTAAAGAATATACAATTTTTTAAAGGTTAAAGTGAAGAATATGTATGAACTTTCTGACTAAAGAATTTGATAAAATACAAGAACTGTATACTTAAATGAACCAATTTTAATGATCCAATAAAACCTATATAATCAATAAATATCTTCGTACACTGATAAATATTTAGTTGAGATCTATAGAGTTAGTATGAAATCAGACATTGTGGCGTTGTAAAGAAGTACCCAGATGGGATAAGCCTAAAATTCCTTGAAATCTTACATATATGATTATTCAAATTCTATTTATTCTATCAAAAAAATATTTTGTTCTAACTTTTAACTTACCCCTTTCATGTTAGAGCTAACTGTATTTATAAATTCACATGTACCTGCTAAAGCAATTACATAGGCCGAACAGAAAGGAGGGCATATCTTAAATTTTTTGAACATGTTTCACAAAGTTTCAGAACAAGAGAAAGAAAGACTTTAAACAGTGCAATCACCAAACATCTCCTTGATACAGGATATCAGGTAGATACCTTGCAATCCTTCAAGGTGATTAATAAGCAGCCAAACTCCAGTTTTCTGAAGCCGTTGTCATCAGGCGTTAAAAACTTGATCTATATGCTCAAAAGGAGACGGTTATTAATCTTTCATTGCCTTGGTGACAAATATACCTTCGTTGCATCTTAAAATTCTTTTTCTTTTTCTTTAACCTCTTTCTCACACTTATTACATCATTGGGTTTTATTTCAACTATTTTCCAGATTATTAATCTTATTTTATCAACTGAGCTCTACTCACTATATTCCTATCAATGTTTACTCATTATGTAATCATTGATTTCTGGCTGTATGAACTATTGTCATAACCAATATGGTAGAATATTCTTTCACATAAAGTACAATATTCAGTCTATTAATTTTATTAACACCCTTACTATACTTTACTAAAGTGTCTTTAATATAACTTCTAACCAAACCTTTTTATTTAAGTAATTTAAACCTATTATGTAATGATGAGCGTTTAAATATCACAGGTTGTAAGCAACTGATGAGAATCAAACGAAATAGAAATGAATTTTAGCTATTCGATTAGAATCATTGTTCTTGCTCTTTTCAAAATGATAAAGGGAATTATGTGTATGAAACTATCTTGATTATATTGAATTCATGTTTTACATATCTTTTAATCTGTCTAAGTTGATCTATTTAATAATATAAATGTCTTAACAAGTAAATGTATCATCAGTTTATGATAATGAGACGTACTGTGTCAATATCTATTACATATGGCTGATAAACTTTATTTGCTTATTCCATTACTTAAATTTATCAAAGAGACATAGTGTTTTAATAAAAGATTAACGTATATAATAGAAGAAGGGGTTTTCTAGGCAGTATAGTAATTTCAGTAGTTGAGATCAGGAGTCAATTGAAGTTAGATTGATAGGTCGTGAGTTCGAATCTCGTGCGCAATGCTAAGAAGTCTCACAATTGGACGAAACGGTCATCCAGTGCTTTCAGGTCTTCTATGATTGTCTAACTTCAATTAACTCATGATCTCAACTATTGAAATTATATAATACAAATTGTATGGGTTTGTATAAGTGCTATGGAAAGTATGAATAGCTTCCTATAACGTGTATATCATAATATATTCCTTTGTATTTTAATGATTTTATTAAAGTTCATTCCAAATACAAACTAGAATTGTCCTTATCATTAATAAGCGTTTAAATCCATCCCATTGTACATATACAGTAATGAGTATGAATTACTTTGAAATACAGATATATCCAAATGAGGTTGGAATGTAATTCCTAGATTTTACTGTACGCTACAATTTATGTATTATGAAAATCGATATTGACTTTTATTTTTCTAATCATTATCAATATTATTTACAAAGATTTCATCTGATATCAGTTATCAAAGCCACTTATTAAATCTCCTAAATCTCAAGTGTATGTGTTGAAGGGTTTAGTTAAGATTTTCATATAATTTGACGGTAGTGATTACAATCAGCTCGAAAAGAATAATAAAAATAACGAAGCACCGGAATGACATTTTTCTTGTATTTCACTAATAGGGTTATTCCTCAACAATGTTGTTTATCTATTTGAACACATAAACATTGTTATAAAGGGGCACCAAATACATATGCCCCACACAAGTCACTTGATTTGTGTGTGTGTGTGTGGGCTTTGGTATTACCCGGGTGTCCAGGCTAAAATAGGTGGTTTTCATAGTAAGCCACACCCCAAGCCTTCGACCTAAAGGTCTGATCCACAAGGCAGTGGAGTAACGTTGAGTGATGCAGTCCTATGGTAGTCGATGACCCACAATAGGTTGCTCAGGATCATGGAGTTCGTGCGTACAATTGACTTTGAATCAGGATTTTCCAACTCACTTAGATGAACCCTTCGTATCTAACAACACGGTTAAAACACCGGACATTAGATTTTCGTCCTCTCAATTTCGTAAACAACATCTCCACCTCCAGAATGAAGTGGCTGTATAAGCACAGACATGTGAGAACACTTCAAGCGACAGAGTGAACCCCCCCCCCACCCTTGACCATCTCAGGGCATTTGGCAACTGACTCCATCTCAATTCGAATAGCTTTATATCTAATTGTAATAACAGTTCAGTACACGTTAACCTATTTATTTCTCTTTCAAAAATTTCTCTCTTTTTAGATATTTGAAACAGAAATCAAAGTAGATCAAGATTTATGGGAAAGTATTCAAGATGAATTAAGATTTGAATTATCCTATTAAATCTATTCAATTAATCTTTATTTGATACTTACACATTATTTGTGAAGTATTTTTGTTGTTGTTTTAATTTTTTAATAAATATGTACAAAAAAAGAGAAAAAGAAAAAGAAAAGAAAAACACAAAGAGAATCTTTCAAAGAAAAAAAACTAGAAATAGGGATTCAAAAAAACAAAACAACCATCACCACCACCACTATAACAACAACAACAACACTCATGGTGATACATAAAAAATCGATTATTTTTTTGTTTTGTTTTTTCTTGATAAATGATATTCAATATTCTTATTTAAAAGATGACATAATAATTTCATTGTTGTATTTAAATTCTTTTTTTTTCAAATCATTTTTCCCGCCTCTCTTTTTTGAAATTTTTATTTGTTTTTTTTTTTTTGTATTTTATGTAATGTGATTGTGACTCGTTTTTGTTTCCAACCATGATATTAACATCATTGATAATTGTTAACAATATAAATGTGTATATTCATTATATAGATATATATGGGGGATTGTTTTGTCGTCATAATGAACTCCCTTCCACTGATACAAGCATATTTGTCTATATAGACGTACTTACTTAGTTACTTACTTATACACACACATATATACATACATACATACCCATGTACACCTAATATATCATTCATTATACTTAGATATTATCAAATATATAAATATACTCATTCTGTGAACTAATACTTTCCTTTTTAGTGTATCTCTGATAATGTTGTTTTGTTTGTTTTTGGATTAAAGTAATGTTGGAACTGGGTTTTCATCATAAGATGTCGTAAGTCTTCTAAAATGAAGATCATCTAACTTCTACGACAGAGTTTAAATTATTTTTTTTTGGTTAGTGTCTTTATACCTAGCCCATCTGTGCTTGTGATTGGTAGTAACATCAAAGGAGCTCCAGACGGAGTAAAAACAAGCTGATTTGTATGATAATTCTGAGTGAATGTATAATCATTATGTATATATATATATAAGGTTGATATTAATTAGATAAATGAGTTATTATTACTATTATTATTATTATTATTATTATTATTATTATTAGCTTTATTCAATATTATAATTTTGGTACAATATAGAATTCTCAGCGCAAAGTATTTCAACAAGTTTCCGTTTCTTTCTTCTTCGTCGGTCCTGGCGATAAATATTGAGGAATCGCCAGTTAGATGTTAGCACTTCAGTGAATGGACAACTGAATAATGTACATTCTTTTCGTTGTACATTGCCAGCAACCATATTGTCTCTTATTGAGTTTTTTGTAACTTTGACAACGAAAGGTTGTACACTTTTCAGAAACGCAGCAGAATAGGTTATGCGATTAATAAACATAATGATATATTAAAACAAACAACAATAGATAACTTGTTGAAATATCTAGATGGCAGGAACAGGTAGCCCAGATGCTCAAGCAGGCCGCCGCATATGTTGATAGATTTCATCATGAACTGAACTCAAATAGAGGAATAATTGGAAATCAGATACAATTGGATAACTGTTTTCATCCTAGAATAAGATTTTTAATAAATTATTTCGGGAAATAGAGGCAGATATGAAAAGGATGAATATCAACTGTTAACAGCTGGAAAGGACTGCCCAGAACAGGGTTGGATAGAGAGTGCTGGTAGGCGGCCAATGCTCCTCCAAGAGGAGTAACAGGTGTAAGTAAGTAAGTACCAATATGTGGTTCTTTCACGGATTGAACCTAAATGTTTCATAACTTGTGATGAGAGTTTTTTTGTTGTATTCACCTTTATATTAGTCTACAAAATATACCAGGGAAGAATAAAAGTACATTGTGAAAGTAAATTTTCATCATAAACTGACAAAAGTTAGAGCCTTGCATTCAAGATCATGGATGCGTATTGTTGAGAAGTTCCATACTAAGATAAGACAACCATCCAATGCTTTCAGGTTATTAATGGTGGTTTAACTTAGATCGACTCATGAATTCAGTTGTTAAAAATAAAGAGAAAAACTTCTGAATCAGAAAGAAATGAGCAAATTACATTCAAATTGAAAGTTTTCATGAAAATACAAGTTTAAACATACAAACATCAAGTTTGTTAGTAAGCGTGATATATTTACGCCATAAAATTGAAATCTTATGATTTACAAGCAAAGATGGACAGTGGCTAGCAGTAGAATGTAGGACGCGCATTTCGTTCTATGGGAAGATACAAGCAAAACAATATCAAGTGAATTTAAATTCACCCGATTGCACAAGCAAGTGGCTATCAGGACTCAGTAGCTGAGTAGATAACGCGATGGTGTTTGAAGTGAACGGTAATGGGTTCGAGTCCCAGAGTGAACATCAACTCTGAGATGCAGATAAATCCGTCTGATGAGTCCCAGATAGGACGAAACGGGTATCCTGGATTTCACTGCTAGCTACTATCCATCTTTGTTTATAAAAGCTTGTCAATTAGAGCATTATCAAGGCATAGGCACAGTATGTACATATGCCAATAACAGACTGATCAATTGCAGTCTTAAACCTCAATGGGAAGATACAAGCAAAACAATACCAAGTGAATCTTATGATTTACATTTATTCAACTAGTGTCAATTTAATAGTAGTATCAATTAAGTTGTACAAACAATAAGTAATCAAGTTCATTATCAATGAAGATTTCTTATTGAACAGTTGAACAGTTCCCTGCTTTTTTTCAAAATAATTAACTTGCTAGCAAGTTCAGATGTTTTGTTAAAACGAACTAAATGAACTATAGAATATCATAAAGACTTGTAATAATTGTATGAATCCGTTGAGAGAATTATTAACTTATACATATTTTGACGGTGATAAGTCCAGTGCTTCCAGGTTTTTCATCGTGATCTAGCTTCAACTGACTCATGATCTTAGCTATTGAAATTACTATAATATCCACAAAACCCCTCCTAATACTAATCAGTATATGCTCACTAGTGACTGGCTTCAAGAGTTATTTCCTAGAGTTCTAGTGAGAAGCCATGACCAATGGAGTTCAACCGGGTCTGTTGTGAAATAGTAACTCACTGATGACAATCGTGAACGGTAACACGATTTCGTGGTTTGGCTGAAGTGAGAGGTTAACACTGTTAGATATCGGCCATCTCAGTGGTCTAGATGTTTAGAGTTCGCGTTCGAGAACAATAGATCCTAGGTTCAAATCTCGCGATGCAGGATCGTGGATGCACACCAGTGAGGAGTCCCACAATAGGAGGAAACAGCCGTCCAGTGTTTCTAGGTTTCCCATGGTGGTCTAGCTTCAACTGACTCATTAATTCAACCATTCAAATTACTATAATATACACAAAAATCCCTTCTGATATGTAAAACATTAACAACAGTTTGGTGAATCAAAAATGTTATGTTCAAAGGAAGAATAAATGGATGGTAACTGCTGGGAATTATTTCTGGACTTTTATTACGTATATTCTTATTGGATAATTATTAAGTAACTAGATTATATATGTATATTCATATTCCTTAGATCATTAGCTTTCATTTTACCTATTGGCTACGGTTATACGATTTACCATCCTTAATTTATACCCAATTTATTTACTACGGTCTCTCACACTCTGTTATATCCTGATAAGCATAATGAATGGTAACTTTTGGGATCTATTGATGGATCAATACTATATACGTATATTTTTATCGTATAATTGTTATGTAACTAAACTATTCACATTCATGTCCCTCTTATTATAAGTTTTATTTTGACCTATTAACCATTATTATACGATTTACCATTCATGAGTTATTCCCACTACCTCCCTCATTCACAGCCACATTTGACAAAATCTTGTAAAAATGTTGTTTCTTATTTTATGGTACGATGTAGTCTGTCTGGTTGGTATATATACCCAGTATGTTTGAAATACATGATTCATATTGCAGAGGTTGAGATTGGTGTTCTGGACTGCAACAGGTAGGGCTAGTCATGAAGTAGGACCGATGAACACTCTAAACTGCTCGTACGTATTTTGCGCGTCTTTGGTGTGATCGATAAATCACTGTTCTCTAATTGGCGGTATCGTTACGTTATACATTAACACGGCACACAGGCTACAAGTTATAACACACTCATACCCACTTTGGCTTGATCTTGTGTAATAATTAATTTTTTTCATTTTATGATGTAATGCCGTCTGATTTTCCTGTATATAAACTACGTACGTATGAAATATACGATCCATACAGTGGAAATTAATATTTGTGTTCTGGACTGAACGGGCTGGGTTAGGTGATAAATTGCTATACAGAGGACCAGTAAGGACCCAGAGTTGGTGTAAGTTTAGTAGTGTTGGCTAACGCATCATTGATATGGCCACATAAGACTGCGTCTTGATTGGTGATCTTATCACCTAATATCTGACAGAGTCATAAGACATAACAAGAAACGAACATCATAATAGTTGTAAAAACGTTTTCCACCGTAAAGTTCAACCTATTTTAGAGCTCTTTTCTTTACTTACTTACGCCTGTTACTCCCAATGGAACATAGGCCGCTGACCAGCATTCTCCAACCCACTCTGTCCTGGGCCTTCTTTTCTAGTTCCATCCAATTCTTGTTCATTTTTCTCATGTCTATCTCCATTTCTCGGCGTAATGTGTTCTTATTTGGTCTTCCTCTTTTCTTTTGGCCTTGAGTATTCGGTGAAACTCTAATTTATGGACGACCTTTGAACGAATTTTTAAGTGACCTTGAGGACATTAGCCAATCAGAAGAGAGTTAGTATAAAGTAAAAATATATTGTAAAAGAGTGATGTTTTACAATGGATATTCTTCTTTTACATTATTTGAGAACTTGTTGAGGTTTGATATAGGTTCAGAAGTTTTGAAATCACAGTGCATGCGGTATAAGAACTCGCCCATATGACTCTTTAATAATCGTCCTCTGGAGCCGTGGTAGGGTTTTAAAGAATACTTCAGCCTAGACCACATGCCCTCAATGTTGTTTGTATGGACCCCCCGTCGTTGGATCAAAGAAATGACGTTTGTACACCACAACATGATGCACAAAACCAAGTCTGGAGAGGCATCTATACGCTTTCCAAACATCGGTATAGCCGCAGCTAATGTTACTGGAGGCTTTATGATCCAATTTGCAACGATTATCATGGTTTATCTTAGCCTTAGCCGTGACCGGGTAAAAAAAGTGCCAGTTCGAGCAGATTTTTTTCTACAACAACGAAATACAATGTCATCGCGGTAGTCTGCACATCGTGCTGCGGTCATTGAATTGCCGCAGTCACAGACACAGGAACTTCCTAATAGTCCCATCTGCTGTAGTCTCTCAACGATCACCTATTCTCTAAAATCTGCTGTAAAACGATCGAATGTGAGAATCTCGCACTGAACTTAGCTCCATGACCTTGAAATTCCTTAAACGCTTCTGATTGGCTCGTCCATAAATTAGAGTCCTACCGAGTATTCCATGTGAGGACTTGTTTTGTGACGCAGTTGGGTGTTTTCCTCAATGTGTGTCCTATCCACTTCCAGCGCTTCTTCCTGATTTCTTCCTCCGTTGGAATCTGGTTTGTTCTCTCCCACAATACGCTGTTGCTAATAGTGTCCGGCCAACGGATCTGAAGTATTTTGGGTAGACAACTGTTAATAAACACCTGTATTTTCTGGATGATGGCTTTCGTAGTTCTCCAGGTTTCTGTGCCATACAGTAGAACTGTCTTGACATTGTATTGAAAATCCTGACCTTGGTGTTGGTTGACAGTCGCTTTGAGTTCCAGATGTCCCTCAGTTGTAAATATGCTGCTCTTGCTTTGCCGATCTGCACCTTCACATCTGCATCAGATCCACCATGTTCATCAATGACGCTGCCCAAATATGTAAAGGTTTTCACATTTTCCAAATCGTCTCCGTCAACTTTGATTGGATTGGTGTATGTTGTGTTGTATCGTAGAATCATGCTTTTCCCTTTGTGTATATTGAGACCTACTGCTGCTGAGGCTGCTGCTACACTGTTCGTCTTCTCCTGCAATTGTTGTTGCGTTTGGGATAGAAGGGCCAGATCATCTGCGAAGTCTAGATCGTCCAACTGCATCCTAGATGTCCATTGTATCCCGTGTTTTCCTTCAGATGTTGATGTCTTCATGATCCAGAACTCTTTTCCTTGCTTTATGAAAATAAAAGATATCCAACATATGAAACGATCTATTAACAGTTTTAGACTTACCATACACAGTTAATGTTATATCCGAGCGAAGATTAAGTCACGAGCAACTTCTGAGACTTATTCATTGACTAATCTTATCTATACATTCTAATGGTATAACTATTCAATAATTTGATTATGTATATCTATATTCCCCTTGTTATAAGCTTTGTTTTGACCTATAATTTATTATTGTACAATTTACGGTTCTTAATCTATGTTCAGCTTATTGACTATTGCATCTCACGTTTACAGCCACTTTTTCGCTTTATTGTGTACAAATATTATTTCCTATTTTATGTTGCGTTGCGGTCTGTTTGATTGATATATAAGCCCAGTATATCTGAAATAAATTATTGGATTCGCATAGTGGAAGCTGGTATAGGTGTTCTGGACTCAAGTGGACGGGCTAGGCGGACATAGGATCAATAAGGACGCTAGGCTGCTCATACTGGTCGAACGTCATTGATTTTGGCACAGTGCTAAGATTGTATAAGTCGTATTTTGATTGATGGATAAATCACGTGATAAAAAGCCGGACATCAAGTCACAATAGTTAAGGTAACAGCTACAAAATTTTGGACTTTTACTCACTAGCCATGGAAATCTAAAATTCGCTTCCAATAGCTCCATAAAAATCATATAAAAAGAAAAAAAGCTGTTTAACAGTACTTAACTACAGTCAATTTGATCAAGTGATTTGACAGGATACTAAACATTTTGAGTACTACACAAATCCCGTCCCCCACATTGAAATACCTAAAAACTAGTCACTATAAAAGTATAGGCTCATTGTAATAAAATGATACTGATGTACAACAACAAAAATAATTTTTGAAGTAAACCCTGTTGGAAATCGAGTATAGGATTTTGTGATCCAAGTTTCGTACGTCACTTATCAATCAATGAAACTTTGAGGTTCCACTTTAAAGAAAAAATATTCGAATATCAGTATAGAGTCATGGAGATTGTTGAGTTTTCACTGAGATCATGAACTGGTGTAAGTTGGACGTTAATACAGTTAAATCCCGGATCAGTGATCTAGAAGTTAAGCGTTCGCATAAGACCAAATGTTTTCGGCTCGATTCCCTTTTTGTGGGTCATCGTGGATGAGCATTATTGCAAAGTCTTATACTAAGACGAAACGGTTATCCAGTACTTCTAGGTTTTCAAAGGTGGTCTGACATTGATCGGTTCATGATCTCAATAAAATAATCTACAATTCACAGATTAGATGCAATTACATATTATATTGAGTTTTCAACTGATTCTGTTCTTGTTGCTTTGATAAGATTGATTGAAAGATATTCTTTACAAATTAATAATTCATCTGGAGCAAAGTAATACCGATAAGCATCATTAGCTGGATGGTAAACTATAATAAGGGCGAGAACCAAAGGGAGAGAGAAAAAAGGGCGTGATGAGATGTGTGAAACTTATCAATAAGGGGGAGGATTGATGAAGATGATCATCGAAAAGGTAAGTATCAGAAAGAATAAAACTTCTTAGTATGTGATTTAACATCTTTCCCTTCATCTCAACGATCAATTAAAGTTTTCTTACTTTTAATGAAGAGTCTACTCTTAATTAATACGGTGAATTTTAGAATTTAGTAACAATCATCTATCCTTATTAATATCAGTAGGGGTTTTTGTGGATATTATAGTAATTTTAATAGTCGAATTAATGAGTCAATTGAAGCTAGACCACCATTAAAAACCTGGAATCTTCGGATAGTTGTCTTATCTTAGTATGGGACTCCCTTAGCAGTGCGCATCTACGATCCTGCCTCGCGAGATTCAACTCCAGGACCGATCGGTCCTAGGATGTACAAAAATATCGTATGACAAAATGAAGATCACTCTGTCTGTCATGCGACGTTTGAAGTTATTGCAAAACAGTTAACAGAATATAACCAAGCATCAGATAAATGAGTATAAAAATCGAACAGAATGATCAACAACAACATCACATAAATTATTTGCTACGGTGTATGTTAGCTTGTTATTTACAGTGTCAGCTCAACTTCTAGATGTAACTAATAAAACAAATTATTCGGTGCATATGACTTGATCATCAGGTGTCCTTACTGAAGCCGAAGTTTATTGGATACAATAAACTTGAAGTCTGAATTATAAAACTTTACACCTATAGCAAACTATACGAAGTGAACCTGACTTTAAATCTATCAACTTTCATGACTAACTAAGAAAATTCAGTTTTACCAGCATTCCGACACTTATTTTTAAATGCTCAAAGAACAAACGAATCTATATTATGTAACCCGATAAATTAATCATCAACAAATTCACGTGCTGAGTATATGTAAGATAGAAATACTCCCTGGTTCATCAAACATAAATGGATAGTTCTGTTAGAAGTGTAACGATGATTTCCACTTTCCGGTTACTTACACCATGAAATAAACACACGGAGAGCACTAACACAATTACACTTGATGGAGCAGGTCTGCTAGGAGTGGAATCCTTCACGTACATGGAAAGCATCACCGATGAAGCAGGAGGATCTGATACAGACATAAAGGCAACGATTGGCAAAGTAATAGCACCACTCCTACAATTGAAAAACATATGGAACTCAAAACAACTGTCAACCAATATCAAAGTCACAATCTTCAATACCAACGTCAAGACAGTTCTACTGTACAGAGCTGAAACTTGGAGAACTACTACAACCATCATCAAGAAGGTACAAGTATTTATAAATAGTTGTCTATGTAAAATACTCAATATCCGTTGACCGGATATCAATACTATCAGTAATAGCCTTCTGTCGGAGAGAACAAACCAGCCTCCAGTTGAAGAGAAAATTAAGAAGAGACGGTGGAAATGCATAAGACATACATTATGCAAATCATCAAACTGCATCACGAAGCAATCCCTAACTTGGAATCCTGAAGGGAAGTTAGTCAGTCAGGAACAACGTAGAACTTCGTACGTACGTACATCAGTTCGAGTTCCCATACCACACTAGCACAGAGATGCAGTTATCGATTGAAATCCCGTAGTGGTAGAGGTAGTAAGAGAATAAGCAGCAATCGTAAACATTAGGGCTTGAAGACGTTCAAGGAGTATAATACAGTGAAATAAATTTGGAAAGAAAATAAGGGACATGAAGAATTCAGAAGATTAGAATTTGGGAGAACACAAAGAGTGGATGCACCTGCGCCATTGCAAACGATTTTCAGCCATGTCATTCAACGTCTCTAACCATTGGTTACTATCATCTCGCGGTCCCCAACCGAGTAGTATACACCTACCAACATGACTCAGTCCACTTGTCAGTGACTTCATGAACTTGTGCCATGTTTTGGTCTGACCACCTCTAGCTTTCTTCCAACATACTCCTATACCAATGAACATCACACGTCGAGGTAGTCGGTCGTTGGGCATACGTAACACGTGTCCTAGCCATCTCAACTGATGAAGGGAAACGGAAAAGTGAAAGGCCAAAGAACATATTACGTCAAGAATTGTAAGCAAATATGAAAAGGATGAATAACACAACTGGAAAGAACTGTAAAGGAGTGCTCAGGACAAGGTTGGATAGAGAGTGCTGATGGGTGACTTATGCTCCTCTATGAGGAGTAACAGGCGTAAGTAAGTGAGTAAGTTTAAACACATATAAAATTAACAAATAAAAACTCAATTGAAATATGTATCACTTTTGTTTATTAAAAGAATATAAATTAATTGATTTACTATACAAGAGAGAATGAGTTGTTGTGTTTGTTTCTTTTTTTCTTTTCTTCTTTTTGATTATCGTGAACGTTTCATTAACTTCTTTAAATGATCTCTTAATGCAATTTGTTTTTGTTGAAAACTACGTTTTGCTTTACCTCGAATTTTATGTTTAATCATTTGAAATGTTTTATTTTTTAATTTTTCACGATTTGTTGTACTGGCATATGCATTTAATCGATTCACCTAAATAAAAGAAGAAAAAAAAAGCCAATGAAAGTATTGGACGACTATTTCATTCCAGTATGGGACACTATTCAATAGTTCACATTCATAATCCCACATGCTGGACATGAATCCAAGACTTGTGGTCTCGCACATGACTCGGCAACGGATGCAACACGTGAACATGTCATTTAACTCATAAAATAAGTCCTTTGCATTTCTTGATTGAGATCATGAACCGATTGACGTGAGAACACCACCTTTGGAAGCCTGGAAGCACTGGACGGCCGTTTCGTCCTATTGTGGGACTCCTCAGCAGTGCACATCCACGATCCCGCTCGCAGGATTCCAACCTAGGGCCTTCAGTCTCACGCGCGAACGCTTAACCTACTGGACCACTGAACCGTCATCCAATGGTGATAGTGTCTAACATCAACCAATCCACGAAATTGCGCGACCAACTTCCGTTGTACTGAGGTAGATACCTGTCTCTACCCGACATGGATTAGCTCCACTGGTCACGGCTTCTCACTAGAACTCCGAGGATTCTCTCACGAAGCTACTCACTAGTGAGCACATTTGCATTTCGTTAATAATAAAATATCTTGAATGAACCAAAAACTGTTAAGGGTGAATACATAAGTTTCTCTGGACTCAAGTACAAGAAACTGATGTTCGAAGACAATTTTTATCATGAACAGACATTACAAAATAATCATAACATTAAAACTGAACAGCTGTTGCTGTCTAGTTTCCCACACTTAATTAGAATGCATCTAAGACTACACATATCTTCAAACAGGGGATTTATGTTTCGTACGGACAACAACTTAGAATGTACCGATTCATATGATAAGCTATTTATAATATAACGTGACAATTATTTAATTTTAGTAACGAACATTTGTTTTGATCACGTCAGTTTATTTTACACGCAACTCAAAACACACTTGAGGAAAATTCTATTCATGATCACAATCCTCATTGATGACGAGCTCTGATGTAAATATTATCTCAGGTCTAAATAAAAAGATAGGCAGTTGATTATCTACATGAAAAGCGCAGTTACGACAATCCATCAGTTTCATTATTAGCCATAGCCTAAGATCATGATATATTACTAAGCAAACGGTATTGAGCTGTACTGTTTGGGTTGTCACAAGAAAGTCTGGATGGTGTTCGATCCTCCAGAAAAACGATGTAAAATTACCCTGACCCACAAGGGTATATTATATAACTGGTACACCCGAAGATGTGGGGAGAGTCAGCCCACAATCTTGAAATGCTCTCACATGGTCACGGGTATACAGCTACTGACAAGGAAGTCCTACTCACTAGATTTTTGAGGCGGTGTTGTTTATGAAATTCAGAAGACGAAATTTTTATTTATTTATTTTAACACATAGATATTGGCACAATGGGACACCAAATACATAGGCGCCACACAAATCTCATTCGATATGTGTGAGGGCTGTGATACTAGCCGGGTGCCCAAACCGAAGCAGGTAGTTTTCTTAGAGGGTCACTCTTCCAGTCTTCGACCTGAGGATCTGATCCACAAGGCAGCAGAGCATCGTAGGGAGATGCATTCACATGGTAGCCGGTCACCAACGATTGGTTCATACGCCATTTGTTCCCTCAAGATACTGAAGCCTATGTGTACTATTGTTTTGGAATCATGGTTTTCCAACTTCCCTAGGTGAACTCTCCATGTCCACCAACCCGGTTGAAGCGCCGGACATTCGCTTTTTGTTCTCTCAATTTCGTAAACAACACCACCGCCATGAGAAGGCAGTGAGTAGGACTTCCTTGGCGGATGCTATGTACGCGTAGCCATGTGAGAGCGGACTCTCCCCACTCTCGGCCGTACAAGGGCATTTGGGGGGCGAAAAGACAATAAAGTTATTGAATACTCGATGAGTATCTTTAAATAATGAAGTACACACACGCAAAATAATTGTTACTGTAAAACAATTTAAAAGAACGTATTTATTACCTTGAAACCATATTTTTCTCGTCCAATTCGACCTTCTTCAATGGATTCCATTCGATCAGCTTTTGTTTGATGTGGACGTTTTACTAGACGTGTAATTGCACTCATACTAACAAGATTTCCTAAACTACCATCTTTATTTTGAATACCAACACCAGTGTTTTCACCATCTTCATCATCAGTATCCACAATAAAATATGAATCAGAATTATCGATTTTATCTTTATTTCGTAAAGAACTGTAGGATGCAAAACGTTTCTAAATGACGATTTGAAATAATAATAATAATAATAATAATAATAATAATAGTCGAAGTTATGTCAATAATGAAATGAATTCTATACAAAGGGATTTAAGCTGAAATAAGAAAAACTTTCCATAAAAAGACTTTGGGCGAGACCATGATTTATAGACGAACTAATCACGTATAAGATAACAGGTCTCGGATTTGGGCGCGAAATTCACTAATCCATTTTGGATAAATAAAGTCATAACATTATAGCCAATGTCAGTTCATGATGAAAACTCGAAATCTGATTCCTAAGCTTAATCATCAACTGTAAATCATGATTTGAATTCCTCACATTAGTTCATAATCCTCATTTGATCCTAGTTATTAGTAGGTGGACACTCTCAAGATCAGTTTAACGTCGCTCATAGGTCGTCCACAAATTATAGTCTCACCCAACTCTGTAATACAACTGAAAAAATTACTGAATATTTTACTAATGTTCTAACGTAAAATCGAATTTTTCGCGTTTACCGAAATTGTTATGTTTGAAGAGATTAGGAGTTCACTTAAATCTGAGAATGAAACAAAGACTCAGCGACAAAATGACCAAATAAGCTAACTATTCCGATGCGTCTCAGTCCCGTTAACTAAAGAGAGAAGTTCAAGTTCAGAAGAGGGAAAACGTATTCCATAAGCAACCACAATCATTAGTGACAACAAGCACAACTCAAGTAAACACATACAGCATAAAAAATGTCCTTAGGAAGTGTTATAAAATAGCATATTAAAAGAGACAACGAAACAATGATATTTAAGTTCCTCACAAGTGAGAAATACGAGATGAAAGTGAAGTGATGGGCACTTTTATCATAAAAATTGCAAAAATAAGACATTTACCAAGTGAGTTCTGGGGATCTAGTGTCCCCAACACAAATTTCATGTCTTACATGTGTTGATATGCACATAAAAACTCTTTATCCTACTGATTTATCAATTTTCTTAATATATATTACACTTTTTGTATTAAGACATATTTATATGAGATTATAATTGCTCATTAAACACAACATCATTATTGAAACGTTCCAATACGCGATTTTAATCTCTTGGTTTAAGGGAAGACAGGGAGTGTATACACCGACGCCATTGTGATCGATTCTGAGCCATGTCACCCATAGTCTCCAACCATTGGTTACGTTAGTCATGCGGACTCCAACCAAGTAGTCTGCATCTACCAATATGGCCCACACTAGAAGTTAGTGACTTCAAGCACTGATGCCATGTTCTAATTCGCCCGCCCCTAATTTTCTTCCAACCATCCCGAACACCGATTAGCATTGCACGTCGTGGTAATCGGTGTTCAGGCATACGTAACACATGGCCCAACCATCTCAGTCGATGAAGATTCATAACCTCATCAACTGATTTACCATCATTCCCTAATACCTCGCGTCTAACCTCATTATTACTTACCCGATGATCCTAGCTGATGCGAGCAATATTTCTAAGATATCTGTCATCAAATACTAGTAACCTACGAGTATCTACAACCATTCATGGCCAGATTTCGCAGCCAAAAGACTCTGCATTTTATCAGCATCTTCACCAAACAGGACTATGTCATTTGAGTAAAGAAGTATAGATCTGAAGTGTCTACACATTCAGCGTTGGTGTTTGTCAAATATTTGAACTGAATATGAGAAATATTCACACACAAAAAGTGCTATTTAATATAACCAGTATATTAAGAAAAATCAGATTATAAATCTGAAGACTTGTAAACATGTATATAATGGCAAATGAACATTTAACCGAAAATACCTGTTTTGTTTGTTGATATTTACGATACCTTAAGTTCTTTATTTCAGAAAAAAAAATATTGATTAGGTATAACAGATGCTGATGTACGCTTTGTTTTCTAAGAGGATTAACAAATTTCTGAACTAAAATATTTTTTTGTATTTTTTTCATTTATATTCTTCTAAAATTCGCTTAAACTGACCAGTTAATACACTTGGTATTGTTTTACTTGAATCTTCCCATTGTTGTTTAGGACGGTAATAATCAATCTCTTGTTGGCATATGTGCATACTGTGCTTATACCTTGATATACCTTAATTCACAAGCTATTTGTAATCAATGATGGATAGTGGCTAGCAGTGGAATCCAGGACGCGCGTTTCGTCCTGTCGGGACTTGTCAGCCAATAAGAGACTGATCAATTTCAGTCCTAAACATCGATGGGAAGATAAAAGCCAAACAATACCAAGTGAATTAAACTTCACCCCATTGCACAAGCAAGGGCTATCAGGACTCAGTAGCTAAGTGGATAACGCAATGGCGTTTGAAGCGAATGTTACTGGGTTCGAGTCCCAGAGTGAACATCAATTCTGAGATGCAGGTACATCCAGCTGACGAGTCCCGAGTAGGACGAAACGCGCGTCCTGGATTCCACTGCTAGCCACTATCCATCTTTGCTTATAACGACCAGTTAATAAGTTCGAAAGTAGTTTGATTTTAATTCATTTTTGTATTGTTTACTTGAATCTTCTCAGTGATGTTTAGGACTGTAATTGATCAGTCTCTTATTGGGATATGTTCATCCTTTACGGATTGCCTTGATATCGTTTTAAGTCACAAGCATTATAAGTAAAAATGAATGATGGTTAGTAGATAAACCAAAGACATGCTTTTTGTCCTACTTGAATTTAGTAGATAAGTGGATAATGCGATGGCGTTTGTACCTAAAACGGTATTGGGTTCTAGTCTCGGAGTGAACATTAAATCAAAGGTGCAGGTACATCTAACTGATGAGTTCTAAATAGAACAAAATGCGCTTACTGTATTCCATTGCTAGCCACTATCCATCTTTATACTATTCATCAATGTACAAAATATTATTACGTAATAATGTTAATGAATTGAGTTGGTTTAGTTCTTCATGGAATTCAAATCATTAATACTTTTAATAAAAGAAATTTTATAATCTCTAAATGAGATTAAGTTTTGTATGAAAGGGAAGTTTTAATACAAATTGTATTTAATATCAGATGGGTTTTGTGGATATTATAGTAATTTCAATGGTTAAGATCATGAGTCAGGGGGCGAGGTCGTGGATGCGCACTGCTGAGGAGTCCCACAATAGGACGAAACGGCCCTCCAATGCTTCCAGGTTTTCCATGATGGTCTAGCTTCAATTGACTCATGATCTTAACCATTGACAAATTGTATTTATTAACGTTGATATCCTTCGCCTCTCCCCTTCAATAATGAATAATTAATACACATTGTAGTGTCGGTTGCTGTGTTAAGCCCATATAACTTATTCTAGCTTCTAGACAGGTCAATTTATCCATTCTTCTTAAGTTACGTTTTGACCTTGTTCATTATTTACTTATCAACCATGACTTTTATATGAGTATATGTATGTGCCCTTCTCATCTTATTCATCATATGTCATATAGCCTATTTTTGTCTGACTGTAAGTATCGATTCATGTTTGGCTAAATTGAGTAGGCTTAAATGCCTTCTCCACTGCACGCTGTTTCATTCCGCTTTTTCTTTTTCACTTCCTTTGCTTACATCTCTTTGATTGTCTGTTCCAATCAACAATTATTTATTATTTATTTATTTGAACACATAAATATTGGTACAAGAGGGCTCCAAATATATATGCGCCAAACTAAGAGAATAGAATTTTCAATAAATATTGTCATTTTGATTTTATTTGTGTGTGGGCTGTGATACTACCCGGGTGCTCAGATCGAAGCAGGTGGTTTTCTTAGGGGGACGCACCCAGATTCTTCGACCTAAAAGTCTGACCCACAAGGCGCTGGAGCATCGTGAGGAGATGCAGTCCTATGGTAGCCGGTGACCAACGACTGGTTCATACGCCATTTTTTCCCGCAGGATACTGGAGCCCATGTGCACCATTGGTTTGAAATCCGGTTAAAGCGCCGGACGTTCACTTTCGTTCTCTCATTCTGGTAAACAACACTCCTGCCACGAGAAGGCAGTGAGTAGGACTTGTGTGACAGAGGCTGTATACGCGTGGCCGTGTAAGAGCATTTCGAGAGGAAGGGCGGGCCCACCTCACTCTCAGTCATACCAAAAATGGTACAAAATATATGTATTCAAACATCCATTCTCATATTTGACTCATTTTTATTCCATTATACACTAACACGATCTAAGTCAATAATTATATATACGAGGATTGATGACATATTGTAGTTCAATAACATTTATACGATCCAATTTGAAGTTTGATTAGGATTTGTTTTGATATTTCAAAGATACTTCTTCAGTATGATCCATTCAGTATAAGTAACGTTTACAGTTTATTGATTATCCAGATAGTGATGATTGTGTTAAGTTCCTTTGGAACATAACGACTTTGTTTAGAAGCATGAAATCCAATGATTTTAAAACAATACTCAATTGATTTATTTTAGTAAAATGAGAACACAATTGCGGACAACCAAATGCATTTGAGTACACAAACTACACAATCTCTTAGTAAAATCTGAGAAACATACAGTGATTTCTTTATTTGCAAAATGTCAATCAATTATCTCAGACTTGACTGATTTCCTCTTTATTTTCATCCTCTTCATATCGATCTTAACTTTCACTTTCAAATGATGTTACGTACTACTTATATCTATCGATATCAGTAGCACACACCACGGTATATACATATATCCTATGAATCAAACTAGATGATCTAAGGTGTATCATTCAACATAAATCATTCAAGTAGAATTAATTTTAGAAAATCAAGTTGTCAACAAACAATATCTCCTTTTCGATGGTTTCTTTTTGTTCTTCTTTTCATTGTTTGCATTTCTTCTTCAATGACACAATATGCCTGTTTTGTTGTTCAAAATTCATGTCTTTTAATTATCAATTGGATAAGTATATGTTTTTTTAAATTGGTTTTTACTTCTTAAGCAAAGATGCGCGTCTCGTCCTATTTGTGACTCGTCAACCGCTGTGTATGTGTATGTACACAACAGCGGTGTGTACTACTAATGTTGATGGATTTGAGTTGTATGTATTACTAATCGAAAGTGGAATACCTGGTGGGAGGACGTTCGGAAGATCAACGTGAAGAGAATGAGAACAGAGAGTGATTGGTATGAAAATGAAAGAACAATAAAGTCTGAGACAATTGGTGGATATTTTTAAAATGAAGTATTTACTATGTAATTCTCAGGTTTTACTAAGAGGTTCTGTAAAGAATGTATCTAAATACATTTGGTTGTCCTCAATTATGTTCCCATTCGTAATAATAGGTCGACAAAAATTCCAGCTAAACAGTTCACTTACATGCAGTGAAAGATGAGACACTTACAGTACTACCCCTTTGCATAGAATGAGGTGACCAAATCCAATTTAAAACCTTAACTAAGATTGTAGGAAGAAGTTATCATAAAACCAGATACTCTTATATAACGTTAATTACCTTAGAGGGAATAAAAAAACCATATAAGTAAGTACATAATAAGTAATTGGAAACCTAACGGTATTGTTAATTAATAGAGACTTTTGAAAAGGTGATAGGTCACTAGATTTTCTTCTGATAAACGAAACGGATTTTAGTATAGGGCTGTGGAGATTATTAAACTTTGATTGAAATCATGAACCGGTTGATGTTATGCCATCACTGAAAACCTGAAAACACTGGACGGCCGTTTCGTCCTATTTCGGTACTCCCTCTCCACGATCCTGTTCGCGGAATTCGGACCCAGGGCCTTCAGTCACGCGCTTGAACTCTTAACCTCTAGACCACTGAGCCGGCTAGTATCCAATGGTGTTCATATCTAACATCAACCAATCCACAAAATTGAGCGACACATTCACCATTGTCTTCAGTCAGTTACTATCTCACAACAGACTCAGTTGAACTCCACTAGTCACTGCTTCTCACTAGACTCATGATCTCAACTATTAAAATCACTATAATATCCATGCCCTTCCTTTTAATAATAAATTATTATTAATAATTATGTACTTCATCAGCATCCACACTATCAATAAGTGCGCGGGACCATCTCCCATTGTAGTGAGATAGATACCTGTTTCTCCCCGACGCGGATTAGCTCTATCGGTCACGGATTTTCACTAGAACTCCGAAAATTCCGTCACGAGGTTAATCACAAGTGAGCGCATGTTAATTATCAGTATAGGTTTGTAAGATTATTAATCATAGACTGAGATCATGAACCGGATTCGAATCCCGCTTGCGGGATCTTGGAAACGCACTTCTGAATAGTCTCACAATAAAACGAAACTAATATTGTTGTAGGTAATGATGTAACAGAACGAAGACTGAATAAATCATAACTCTTGGGGCTATTTTATGAACTAATATAACATATATTTTATCTGAATAGCTACCAAATCATTCAACTATTATGTCTATACATTTCATTTATTATAAGCTTCATTTTGACTCAATCATTATTCTTATTATTATACGTCTTATTATCTGCAACGTTTTGATGGTCAATTATTTACAGCTTGTCAGGTTTACCTGTCACTCAAGGCCTCTTTATGCATAACTAGGACTTTCTACTTCATAGTCTGATACAGTTTGGTATGTTTGATAAAAATTAAGGTAATGCAATTATGATTAATATACAGCTATAACACGAATAACAAATTGTTTACATGTACACTAAGATTGTCACTGGGAACCAGTTCACAAAGATATCTAACTAGTACATCCAAATACTTTACTTTTACTCTCCTACATTAAGATCCATGGCTGAGATTTCATGAATCAGAAGGAGTGAGGCATACGTTAGCCTCAACTCAATGTTAACTGTGTCGATTGAAACGTACAATTGGTTAAATACTTAAAACCTTAGACTATAGACAAAATACTATACACGAGATAAAAAAGAATTATAATCGGAATTTTGATTTGCATTTCCAGTAATTGATATTGATTAACGTCTCCACAAC